AAAAAAGACTGGAAGGCAATGAACAAAAAGTTGAGATTTCCTATAGTAATTTACATGTAAACTTCAAATGGCTTTTGCGAAGTCTGTTCCTAACCAAATGAGTTGTAACTTTGGGAGGCTAATCAGGACCCGATTTGAAACCATTTAAGCACTGTGGAGCGAAAAAGTCAAATTTTGCATCAGTCTATTGTTCAGTCTTCGCCTCTTCTCTCACCAGTTTTTTCAACTTTCCCGGAACTGCAAAGGTTCCATCAGATTTTTATTGCGGACCCACACTAGCTGCAGGCAGATTTAAGAAGTTCTGAAAGTTCAGAAAAGTCCAGACTTTTGTGTGAGTTTCAATAAATTAAAGACAGTTTCATTTACTTCTGTTAAAATTGGAAAACATGGGGATTTCAGAAAAGTCCATCGAACTCCAGTGAACTTAAGGAAACATCATAAATATTTTGGAAACTTCACAAGTCCAAAGAACTTCAGGGAAATGAAATGGTTTTCAGGAACTTTAGTGAAGCTCAAAGAACATAAGGACAGATCAATTAATTAATGAAATTGCTGAAATTATAAAGGAGTTTCGAGAAACTCAGGCAATTACCGAAAACTTCAGCAAATTTAGGAACCGTAAGGTTAAATAAGTTACATGAACATTAGAAGATTGTGAGAACATTTTGTGGGAAGTTCTATGCTTTTAAATGGCAGTGTCAATAACTTTTAAAAATTAAAAAAAATGGGAAGGATCAGAGAACTTCAATGCTGATGTTACAATAAATTCACGAAAATTGAGAGACCACTTAAGAGATTTTGTAATCTTCAAGAAATTCCAGAGACCTTCAAAGATGATTAGATATATTCCGAAAGTCTTATTATAATCAGGAATGTTCCGAGCACTTTGAGAATAGCCAGAGAAGTCTTAAGCAGCCCCCAATTTCAGGAATATTACAAGAACTTTTAAGGAATTTCGAGGAATTATTGTTTATTCCTAAGCGCATTGTAGGAATGTCCCGAAAATTTCAGGAATTTTTTTTTCGACTGTTCCGTAAACGCTCTGGTTTCCGACTTTCTTCAGATGTTTCTTGCAATCTATCTTAGGAAGTTTCTGCCAGCGTCTCCAGGAAGTTTCTTCCGTCTTCTCCAGGAAGTTCAATTAAGCTTCTCCCAGAAGTTTCTTGCATCTTCTTCAGGAAGTTTGTCCATAAGCCAAAGGTTTTTTTTTTTCGACTTCTATTTGAAGCTTGTTCCGAGCTTCTTCTGGCTTTCCCTGGAAATGACTACTTCTGAAAATGTACTTCCGGTTTACGAAAATTTTCTGGCTTCCTTTAGATGTGACATCCGATTTTTTTTTTTGATGGTTTATTTAAATTTTCGCCACAAGTTTCTCAATTTGTGCCTAGGAAGTTTCCTGGATGTTTATCACCTCAAATCCCAGTCGTCACCATCGTTAAAATTTTCGCTATCAAAAACGGCAAAAATATAAAACTAATTAAATAGTAAATACCGATAAATGCCGATATTTTAATACCGATAAGCTTTAAAACAATCTGGCAACGCTGCCCGAGAGTAAGAAGGTGACAGCTCTACCGCAGCTACAATAGCCCATTTAAAGAACGCAAGCATTTCGAAGCTTTTTTTCACACATGATAAGCCCTGCTCCAATACATTATCGATGCAAATATACACCATTGATAATGTACTGAAACTTTCAATCAAGCAGTAGTGCAATACTTGATTGACGCGTATTTAGTAAATTTTGAAATGATCGTCTTGAATTAGATGGATATTTCCTATCGAGGACAGAGGAACGAAAAGGCACATAAACTTTGCTGAACGTAACTACGCGTAGGTTAGAACAGTCGGCACCACATGCAATGGATAAGAATTTGAAAATTTTCACTTCATGCACTTTTCAACGTCACTTCTGTCCTTTCAAGTTAAAACTTTTAAAAAATGAAATTTTAAATTTATAAAATTTTCACTAGAACGAAAACGACGCAGCAAAAACTACTTTGCAGCGCGGCCTACTTCGATCCATGAACCGTATCAATATTGTTGATGCTCGCAAATTCATAATTTGCTGCACTATCCATGATAAAAATAACAACTGAATACATTTAGCATACAGGATAGAAACGTCGTCCATTAGCAAACAACCCAAATGAAGTAAAATTTCATATTGATCACTACGCAAAACCAAACCTAAATCTCACCATGTTCTTTCCTCACCTGCAAATATTGACAGTTAGGCCGGGTTTGTTTTGGTCTCCGTTCATTCCTATCTTTTTCATTCTTCTGGATAAAGGAGAAAAGAGGACGGCATAAAGAGAGATTAGCTTTTGCGTGCAATGCTTTATGTGGTGCTTACACTAAAGCTAATTCACTAGCGCTAGTGAGCTCGTTGCTAGCAAAAACGCTCACCAGCATAATGAAAACAGGGCATCAGCGTCTACCAGCATGAAATTTCAGGAGTTGGCGAGTACACTAGCGCGATGATATCCGCACAGGTGTAAACACCCCATTAATGAAGCTCTGATGCTATTTGGACAGCTCCTCTTGTTTGTTTACGATTGTGCTTGGCTTATGTCACCCCGCAAAACGTTGAAAAGAGATAGTATTTATGTTCATGACTATGATTCATGCAAATTTTACGTGTCAATTCTTACACAATTCTATTAATTTTGAATTGTGGACATTTATTTTTTATAAGAGGGCTTCTGAGGAAATGTATTTTTTTTTTGTCTTGCCGCTTTTCATATTGCTTGAGTGCGATGTCAAGTACTCATAGTCAAACCCAACTAGCAACAAATCCAATAAGATTTAGTGGTTGTCGAGAAATGTGGACTCGGAATGAGGCCATTATTGGCCGAGTTCTATAAAATCATAAAGTTTGATATGTCGCACAACCGTTTTTGGTTCTTGTCGAGAATCGGCCATTTCCTCGGGAGCACGGTTTTCATTTTTGGGGCACCAGAACATGTCCGGGAGGAATAGTGGGACCGTGGACTGTCAATAAAGCCATTACCGGCCAAGTTTAGATAAATAATGGAATTTCATGTGTTGGACGACGAGTTTTAATTCTTGTTAAGAATTGGTCACTTCTCAGGACGCACAGAAACATGCCCGGGAGGACTGGTGTGACCGTGGACTGTCAACAAGGCTATTGCAGGTCGAATTTTGCAAAATCTAAATGTTTGATATATCGCACGATGGGCTTAGGTTCTTGTTGCGAATTGGCTACTTCCCTGGGGGCACCGTAACATGCCTGGGAGGGATAGTGGACCGTGGAATGTCAATAAGGCCATTACCGACCAATTTTTGTAAAATCATAAAGTTGTATGTGTCGGACGACGTGTTTTAATTCTTGTTGAGAATTGGCTTCTTCCTCGAGGGTACCGTAAAATTTCCGGCATGGCCAATAGGAATATGGTTTCTCAATAAGGTCACTACCAGCCGAGATTTGAAAAAAAAAACATGAAGTTTGATACGTTACATGACGGTTGTTGGTCCTTGTCGAGAATTGGCCACTTTCTCGGGGGCACAGAAACATGCCTGGGAGGGCTAGTGTGACCATGGACTGTCTGTCAATCAGGCTATTACCGGTCTAGTTTTGTAAAATCGTGCAATTTCATGTGTCGGACGACGAGTTTTAATTCTTGTTGAGAATTGATTAGTTCCTCAAGGGCATCGGAACATTTCCGGGATGGCCAATGTGGCCATAGTCTCTCAACCATGAAGTATTGTGTGTCGCACAACGCGTTTAGTTCCACCGGCTGGAGCGGAAATCGAACCCCTCACTTCATGGCACTCAGAAACGCCTGAACGACGGGTGACGCCGGTGACCGCACGACCACGAAACCCGCCACCCAAGAAGTAATGCAGAGGCTTGTTAAATCAAAATCAACAGTTAACTTAGCTACGGTTCATGTTAGTTTGCATGATAGGCACTCAATCCAATCGAATGGATTGTTAACCAAAAAAGTTGAACGTGGACCAACTTTTGGGACGCCCCAAGTTAGAATTATTTATTATAACGGTCGGAGACGGAGTCAGTGGGAGTGCTTTTTCATCTACTCCGCCTCCGACTCCAATTCCTTTTGCTCAAAAATGCGTCCGTCTCTGACTCCGACTCCATAGCCCTGAGTAGAGCTGAGAAATCGGATAATATGTCGTTTTGCGAGATTCAACGTTGCTTTTATCGTATCTATGATCACATTACAAGTTTAAAATCATTTTTTTAGTTTGGTCATTTGACATGCTTATATCTCGACAAAATCTAAGCCAAGGTGGTCCAAAATTGACCTAAGCTTCGAAAAATAGCAAAATAGTAAAATTCTGATGTCAATGAGACTGAAAAGCCATTTACAACGCACATCGATTCAAAATCGATCAGAACCCATATTTGCATTCACTTTCATCTGTCTCTAAGCTCGTCTCAAAATACACAATATGTAGCAGTTTACTAAGCAATCCAATTTGGCCCCCTTGTTCTTATTCCGAAATCATCACGTAAGTTTAATCAACGCATTCTCCGCAACCAACCCAACATGCAAAGCTAATTCACACCTCATGATATTTTAAAATGACCCATCCAATTCAAAAGCCTCTTCTTATGCATGGTTCACCGTCTTGAAACATCCACGGAAAACGCCAACATTCTGAACAGTAACAGACAGAAAATATCAAGGGACCTAAGTCCCTTCTTCTCATTCCCACAGTTCCAAAAAAAAAACTGTAAACCGACAACCGAACCGAACCAGGCTTTAATCAAACTGCTCGTTTTCACACAATTTAAATACACACGCAACCCATATATTTTCACCGTCCATCCCTATCACCCAATCCCACGGCTAACAGATGCCGTGCAACCAATAAAGACGCCACCCCCTCCCCATAAATCGGCACAGTGTTACTGCCCATTCGAGTAATGTTTTATGTCTGTCTTCTTTTTTTTTTCTCTTTTTATTCCGGTTTCCACACCTTGGATCACCACAACACGAACGTGAACGTAGGCACGCTCCAAGCTGCCGAAGAAGCGCCGACGGGTGCTACCTGTAGAGCAGCCGCGTAGGAAGCGGGAAGTCGGCGTCGCCAACCGGCGAATGAACGCGCTGAAGCATCAGCACACCCACCCCACCCATCCGGCCATCTTTAAGGACGCTTTCGGTGGGGCGAAAATCGGTAAGTTTGGCGCACTGCTTTTGGGAAATGGCGAAATGCGCAGAAGCGAAGCTTTTCGCAGCGTTTTGGATGGAAAGCGTTTCTGCACGGTCGTTCGGATCGACTCGAAATCCACTTTTGCTGAAATTGATTTGACTCGATTCTATTTTGAGTCAGTCTGAAAGACCGTGTAGTTGGGAGGAAAGCTTATTGGTATAATGCGTTGAAGTGGATAATGCACTGCGGTGGAGCTTTTTATATTCAGCGCTAGGTTGCAAAGAGCTTTTATCTGCCTTGAGACACAGAAGTATGCAATTGAGCATATTTGGATTGAATCAGTAGTCATAGAGGAGTATCAGAGAGGGCGTCACAATTTCAGCTTCAACCAACAAAATTGATGCGATGAAGAGACTCCTAGCTTTATTTGTCTAACTTTTAAATTTGTCGATTTGTTTTTGAGTACTTTGCACTGATGAAGTCTGCAAGTAGTAGACGGTGAGGCGACCCCGGTTTAGTGGTTAACATCCATACTTCCCACGCCGAAGTCACGAGTTCAAATATCACCTCCGGACAAGTCACGAATGACCCAAGAGTGTTAAAGTGACTATAATAAAAAGTAGTGGACGAAATACGCGTATTTGTCAAAAGATAAGCAATTATAATGGAATTAAAAGGAAATAAACCAACACACTCAAAGCTCTTTATAATTTATTTTTCTGTTGAAGTCGAGCAGCTTCGCAACATTCCAGAACCTCTTCGTCGGCGTCTTTCTCCCGTCGCACAGTGCACAGTGGTACAGAATGCAGATTTAGCTGGAATGATATGTTTTGAGCCTGAAATTGAAACTTTAGACTAAAAGTCTCTCCTACAAAGTTGTTCCTTATAGTTAGGCCCTCATTTTTATGACAATGAATTCTAGGGTGGTTCCTATTATCATTAAAATCAGAAATCTATCTTTTTTATTTGAATAAATTAAGGTATACATTTTTCAGCAAAGTTATAGCTGAGCTAATTTCAAGCAACTTTGTTGAAAGTAACTTTTTTGTATCTCTTAAATTGGCCGATTTAGAGCTATTTTCTTGAATTGAGTTAGGGTGGCTCTTAAAAAAACAGTTTTTTTGCTCTATTTTTCTTATTTAGAATTTCTCAGCAAAGGTGTCTTCAGATAACTTTTAGATATTAAAAAGGAGCAAATTTTTGCTGCAGAAAGCTTGTCAATACCTTTCGCCGATCAAGAGTTATTGACGTTTGTATACTAAAAATATGCATTTTTCAAATGGTAATATCTCTGGTTGGGGCAAACAAAAAAAAAGTTTTTTTGCAGCATTTGAAAGGGCGTATGTTATTCTCAATAATATGAAAAAATTGGAGGTATGTTATTTTTTAAACTCGTATAAAATCAATTTGAATTTATTCATATTTTTTACTTTATTTGAGTATATCTTTTTTATAAGAAGAGATACAGGCAACAAATTCAGCTATAAAACATTCGTCTTTAAGAGTTTAAAAATGCTCTAGAAGATAACTTTCATGAGAATTTTCAAATAAAAAAGTTATTGCTAAAAAACTATTTTTTCCAGGAACACCCTAAGTCAACTCCGAAAAATTACTCTAAAATGAGAACGTTAAGAAATAGAAAAAAAATTTCTTCGACAAAGTTGCTTGCAAGTAACTTAACTACAACTTTTTTGAACAACACATGTTTATATTTTGTAAAACAAGAAAGTTAGTTTTAAAAATTCCCTAATTTGAGGACCAGCCTGACGTCTGCAAACACCAAAAGAAGGGAATTTTTAAGAACAAAAACTTCTTCGAAGACACTAAATGTCCAAATATTGAAACAAATGTACTATCTCATTTTATATAAATTTGTCATTAGAGTGGTCCTATGAAATCCATCTTTTGCCAATAACTTTTTTATTTGAAATTTATCATGAAAGTCATCTTCTAGAGACTTTTAAAACTCTTTAAGACGAATGTTTTATTGCTGAATAAAATAAAAATAAAATCTAATAAAAAAGATATACTCAAATATAGTAAAAAATATGAATTAATTCAAATTGATTTTATACGAGTTTAAAAAATAACATACCTCCAATTTTTTCATATTATTGAGAATAACATACGCTCTTTCAAATGCTGCCAATAAACTTTTTTTTTTGTTTGCCCCAACCAGAGATATTGACATTTGAAAAGTGCATATTTTTAGTATAAAAACGTCAATTACTCTTGATCGACGAAAGATATTGACAAGCTTTGTGCAGCAAAAATTTGCGCCTTTTAAATATCTAAAAGTTATCTGAAGACACCTTTGCTGAGAAATTCGAAATAAGAAAAATAGAGCAAAAAAACTGTTTTTTTAAGAGCCACCCTAACTCAATTCAAGAAAATAGCTCTAAATCGGCCAATTTAAGAGATACAAAAAAGCTACTTCCAACAAAGTTGCTTGAAATTAGCTCAGCTATAACTTTGCTGAAGAATGTATACCTTAATTTATTCAAACAAAAAAGTTAGATTTCTTATTTTAATGATAATAGGAACCACCCTAGAATTCATTGTCATAAAAATGAGGGCCTAAATATAAGGAACAACTTTGTAGAAGAGACTTTTAGTCTAAAGTTTCAATTTCATGCTCAAAACATATCATTCCACCTAAATCTGCATTCTGGACCACTGTGCAGTGGCACGAATATGAATAAAGACGGTCAAAAATATTTTCTACCCTTTTTCGACGTTTTAGAGACTGGGTGTCTTGGGAGAAGTTGCTCAAAATTATAACTCGCATCTTTTGAAATACACACCTAAATAATCTTTAAGCTAGTATTACACATCCAAATTCTAACTTTTTCCAGTTACGAGATAATGGTTCCATGTCTTGGACAAAGTTGCAGAGCAGTTGATTTCATGAACATTTGCTAAAGACACCAAATTTCGACATCATAACTCTGTAGAGCTATAATAGATTTTCTTTTAAGACTACCTTAATATTGGTTTTTTAAGTTAATTAGTGCTTTTTTCAAATTTGATCAATTTATCTTGTTCTAAGAAATTGTTGGCATCATTAAAATATACAACTTTGCTGAATACACCAATGCTTTTCATTGACATCCATGTGATATACAGCCCATCAAGCGTTTTTGTGACGTCATATTCAACGGCTCGAAAAGAGGGTGGGCGGGCCCTGGCGGGGTCTAAAACTGCGCCGCCGGGATGTTCTGAGGCATAACATCTCTGATCACGCCTTCCTTCGGATGGGAAGTAAAGCCGTTGGTCCCCGGTTCATGAGTTGATGGGTCGATAGGTAGGGTCCAGGTGTGGGAGCTGCCTTCCTGGCACGTCGGTAGCATTGGTGCTCAGCACGGAAGGAAAACAAGATTGACGGAAAAAATAAACCAAAGAAAAAAAAAAAAAAGCATCTCCTCGCTAACAGATGAACCGACAAGTGGATATTAAATATTTACACTACAACAGTTTTCGTTTTAAAAACTGCATACAGTAAGCCTTTCCCCCCTCCCCCACACCGCTGTCTTACAACGTTTATGAGATTGAACAAATGTTTTTGAATAATGCATCCTGAACATACCAAATCGATAAAATAAGAAACTCCGAAGTTATTTCAAACTGAAACTATTGATATGAGTGAGGGGGGTGGGGTTTATTATTAACCCCCCCCCCTCTCCAACTACACATATGAGATAGAGCAATTGTTTTTGAATAATTCATCTCAACATACCAAATTGTTAAGAAAAGAACCTCCGATATTATTTCAGTTTGGAGTCTGACTTCCATTGGTACACCAGCAGTGTTGACAGAAAAAGGGATTTTTGGTGTTAAATTCAAACCATAAATATTTGAATAGCTATAATTTGTTTTAGATACATTCTAACACCGTACTTCCTTTGGCAAAGTTGTTAGGCACTTTCTGGACTATATTTGTTCATACTTATTTGCACGGTTCATGCAAAATTGTGGTCTCTAGAGCAAAAAAGTTGGTTTTCCCATACAAATTTCCATACAAATTTCCAACGCAATGCGGAAAGCCGAGTTACAACCAATCGTCCCCAAATTTTGCACTGTTGTTTGAGACTCCAAATGGAACCAAAAAAGGGTTGTTCTCGATTGGTGCGAAAAGTTTGCGTTTTTCCATTTAACGATGACCCACTCTACTGACCCACTGACGTATGTGTGGGTAGAGGGAAAAATGTAAACTTTGCGGGAGTCGATGGTGACGACGTCATAACACTCGAAAGGAAATTTGCAAAATAAGAAGTAAAACAAATCCTAGCTAGTTTTGCATGATGATTTTGCATGATTGTATTCTTTTGTAAAGTCGCTGCGAAATATTAGCTGAAATTTTTTTATTTTTTGATAGCTCCTTATTAAAAAAAAAAACAGACAAAAACTCACAAACAGGCTGCTTTTTCATGGTATACAGTGTGAAAATTCAATAATCAATCAATTATCTCAATATTTAGTGGCAGACCATGCATAAATTTTGGTAACATACATAGATTCTATAATTCATACTAATTTTCCTATGCAAGCGCCGATCGAAACAAACGCTATGACGTCACTACAAGGGTGATTGAATGAACGAAAGAAACGAATCGTGCGAAGCGCAATGAAAGCCGAGTGAAAAACGAAGCGCACCAAAACATTTAGGCCTACAATTCCACACCTTGTATAGACTAGGTTGGGTCTCATCGACCTTATTCGCCGCCGAACGCTAGCCAGATTTAAACTGCTGCTCGTTTTCCGTGGAATAATTAGTTTTTACTCTTCTTACAAAGAAGGGTATAGATATCACTTGAAAAACCGACTATCGATCCGAGGCTCGGAGGGCCGAGTGTCATATACCATTCGACTCAGCTCGACGAGATCGGAACATGTCTGTGTGTGTGTGTGTATGTGTGTATGTGTGTGTATCAGCAACCGCTCAACCGATTTGAACAAACTCGGCACCAAATGATAGGTCTTGGGGTCCCATTGAACGCTATTGAACGGTTTTGGAATCGGTGAAC